ATGTGTCAAAACAGCATGTAAAGGATGTAGTGTTATGGAATCGCCTTTTATCAGAGCACCAGGGATTCCGTTCTTCTTTTTTTTAAAATCGCAAAACAAGGCAATGGAGAGTCATTAGCCGAGTGAGGTAAAACTTCTGAAATGTTAGAATTGAAAAAAGTTCAAGTGTAGTAACATCCCTCGCAGATTTAAGGGTAATGATGGATGTTGCTTGTGCATTTGAGGAGACTGGACAAAGTGACTGAAATGTCGGGAGGGAAACAAAAATGGAGACATGGTGCGCTTATCTTACACTGGTTGACATGAGAGAGGAGGAGAGAGAGAGAAAAAAAAAAAAAACTTGACAGGTAAGAAGTAAGTGTCCATAACCATCTAGTAAAACTGAGGTGTAAAACGACAAACAGGAATGGCATCAAATTTCGGCTCTGGCTTCGATAATGCGACGGTCTTTCGATCGAAATGTTTTCGTGGGTTCACCAGTGCAAATGTACATTTCCTCGGTGGCACTTGATGAACTCTGGGGTTGACACTACGCTGCTGTTAGCTGCCCCTAACGAAGATGGTGGATTAATTACACGGGTTTGGGGCTTTCCAGCATTTTTTTTTTTTTTTTTTTCGGGTTTGGGGCTTTCCAGCATCTTTTTTTTGTTTTTTTTTTTAGCTCAACTTAACATCTTTCCCCCATTTAAAACCTTGGCTCTGACACTTTCAGTCTGTCTTTTCTTTTGAAACTTGCACTGCACAGTTGTCTGAATATATTATACACATCAAACTTTACAATAAAAGGTTTTGGAACATTTCAGGGCTTAGCCTCTTGTCAAGCTTAGGCCTAAATTAAAACACCATCCATTTATTACACTCTGGTAATGTGGTCAGAGTAAGAGAGAGAGAGAGAGAGTACATAAATTATTTGGAGTGTCAGCACATAAAAAGTTAGAGCTATAAATGGTGTATGGAGTGCCACCTTACTACTTCCTGACACATGGTCAGATGTCCTGGTAGCCAGGAGCAGAAAGTCATGGTCAGGCATGGGCACAAAATAAATGCAAAAGTCTGAGAAATGTATATGTACACAAGCAGCTAGCCTGCTCTCTTTAACGACTATAAAATACAGCATCTCTCTCTAATTCTCTTGGCCAAACTTTTACTTTTCTTCTTCCCGTTCTTCTCTTTGCTGTCCTCCATTTTCCTCGCCCGGATCTCTCTCATCAGGTCGAAAAACACCTGTTAAAAACACACACACACACACACACAAAAAAAGGGGCAAAAGGTTCATGCTTCTCCAGCAACTCATTTGTTCGTGCTTGTGTTTAGCCAGTTAAACAAACCTTGTCAACATTGGCACGGGTTTTGGCAGAAGTCTCCACGTAGCACACGCCCCACTGCTCGGCACGTGCCTTGGCCTCGTCCGCGCTGACCTGCCGTCGGTCGTCCAAGTCCGACTTGTTACCGACCAGGAGAAAGGGCACGTTCTCGTCCTCCTTCACTCGCAGGATCTGCTCTCTGCGGAACAGGAAAAGTCACTGAATTGTGTAAATAAACAGACTCGCACTTCTTTAAGCAGACTTCAAACAATGAAACCCAAACCCAATGAAAATGTGAAGCAGAGGAAGAACAGCTGTCATTAAATCCTAATGGATGTTCGAGGGATTCATTAGAACAATCTGCGCGTCTGCACCTGAAGTCTACTGTTGCTGCAAATGATTCCAGCTCTGTGATGGAAAATACGCAGAGGAAGCCCTCGCCACTACGGAAGTAGTTATCCCGGATGGCTGCGTAGTCCTCCTGTCCAGCTGTGTCGAGGATGTCAATCTGCACCTCCTCACCGTCCAGCACCACCTTCTTCCTGTAGCTGTCGGCTTTAGTGGGCTCGTAGTCTTCAACAAACTGGGAAGGAGAAAGAAGACGTCACTCACTGTGCCGAAAAGAGAAGCTCGAATTTACTGGACTGCGGTGATGTCAAATTGCTCACCTCATCATACATGAACTGGAGAGTGAGGGCTGACTTCCCCACTCCTCCACTTCCCACCATAATCACTTTGTGAAGGGCTAGAGAGTTCTGCCCTTTTGGCTTCGCAGCTGCCATGGCTCTGTGTACCAAGAGACGTTAAGTGTCAAAGGGAGAAAAGTTCAAGGCGGCGGGAGGAGGAGGGATTGTGAAATGAAGACCGGAAAAAATCAGTCCGGGGATTCCAGGTGAAACAAAGGGCTGAATGATAATTCCTGCGGAGAAGAAGAAGAAAGAAAAAAAAAAAAAAAACAGAGAGAGAGAAAGAATCCTAAGACGTTGCATCATGATTTCCGAAGCCTCCAGGTTCCATTTCTGCAGCTACACTGCATACCCATCACAGCAATAAATTTCCACCACTGTAAAATGTTTAAATAGGAGAAACTGCCATCGCACCACAAACGTAGTGCCGGGAATGAGTGATCGTCTACACCCTACTGAGACTGCAGCAAATGCAACGTGATAACCACTGGCACTGGATTGAAGGAACAGAACTGTAGATTTAAACTTAATACGTCTGCACAAATATCACAAGCAAGTGTTAATGAAATTTCTTTACTTTTTACTCTTTGCAATGTCAAAAAAGTCACAGAAATAGATCTTATTGATCGCAGTAATTATTCTTTTTCATATATAAAAAGGCAGGAATTCTTTGAGTGATCATTTCAGATGTCTGGGCTGCAACTAACAATTATTTCCTGAACATGTCAATTATCTTCTTGAATAATTTGAATACTTGTTTGGATGTCAGAAAATGGTCCATGAGTGTTTCCCAAAGCCCGTGACAACATCCTCAAATGTGTTGTTTTGTCCACAACCTAATTATATTCAGTTTACTACAATAAAGGAGGAAAATAAACAGAAAATACTCAAATTTAAGACGCTGAAATGAGAGAATTTTGACTGTGTTTCCCCTTAAAAAACACCCGATTATCAAAACAGTTTGTGATTAATTTCACAGTTGACAACTAATGGATTAATCGTTGCAACTTACAGGAAGGCTTAAAGAGAAAATCCCCTTACAGATGAGCAAACTGACAACTCAGTGAGCTATCCTGTGAACGCACCGCTATCAGGAGTTTCACAAGAATATTTGCAACCTGCTTGTAGGTGACATCTGGATATGCAAAGTTAACTACCTTACATCGTGACAAACAGCAGGCAAATTCCACTAACCCAACAGGGACATGTTAAATCCATTTAGCCCAGACATAAAACTTTTTTAAAGCTTCTAGGTAACATCTGGCGATATATCCCGATCTTTGACAGGAGTGGATAAAAATCTGACACATGCTGAAGCGATTTAGTGGTCAGTTTCCCATAGCTGGACTGTCCAAGGAGACTATGGGAAAAGCATGATGTGCAGAAGTGTGTGTGTGCTCAGGCCTTTTCCTGGAGGAGGCCAACAACACAGACCTCTGGAGGGGTGATCAGGGATAAACACGGGAATGCAGCCAGGACGTCATTACACAAATTAACACAATGCACTGAAAGTCAATGTAAAGTAATGAAAGGTAATATCGTGTGACTCCACCTATTTAAAACCAGAAAATAACAACTAGTTTTAAGTGAAAGTGAAAACAGCAGCTGTGAAAATGGACATCTGGTCACAGTTCAGGGCTTTTAGATCTGTTTAAAATACAACAATCTCTAAACAAAGTTACTCGATCGAGATAGTGAATGTGTCTAGAGGAGATGAGCAGGTGAATCCAATGACAAAACCGCATATTTACATCTCAATCATGGCCACTCATGTTGGCATGTAACGTCACCACATCCGTGTAACTAACAAATTAATCAACGTATCATAATCTGGCATCTAAATGACGCTAATAAGACAAGCATGCTAATAATATGATAAGATCTGTGTATTAGCTGACCCGGCGACCATTTTGCCTGGTTGTTACAATAACAGTCGAGCAATATCCCAAATAACAAAGACTCCAAATATTTAACTTATTAGCAAGTTAGCTGCTGGCATTTTAACTGCCAGTAAAACTAGCTAGCAGGTTGACAAAGTGGGCGATGTGGCTAACAAGCTAACTCACCTCCGGGGCAGGTAAACGCCAGCTGACCTTTAATTAACGTTCAGGGGGCAGCTGGGGGCTCGAATAGCGCACACGGGACAAAATGTTTTAAAATAGGACACCCAGCAACAGATGTTCGGTCGATGCCTGCCCAACTCAGCAGCTTCCTCGCTAGCAGGCTAAAAGGTGGCTGGCCACACAAACACAGGCGAAAAGGCTAGCGAGCGATAACAAGCAGCTAATCACAACTAAATGATGCGACGCGAAAAGGGGGCAAACGCGGCCGGCGAGAGCCGCTACACACGCGCCATATGCGGGGATAACATCACCTACCGGTAGTTTAAGCAGCGTTCCCCTTGGCAAAGCGTTTGACGAAGGCTGAGTTATGGTGGCAAGATGAAAAGACTCAGCTAGCTAGGTGTTAGCTCATGGCTAGCTCGCTAGCTAACTCCAGAGACTTGGCTGGTAGCTGTTAGCAGCAGACTGCCTGCACGTCCTGTGGGCTTGGCTCCGTCTGACAACGCCCGCCCGCCTGGGAGAACCAGACAACACTCAGTTTTACTTTTACCCACGAATATAACATTTATATATCACATATAAAATAAAAAAAAAATACAGTAATTAATAATGACATAATTTACGAGTTATTGTGCTCATTTGCGTCATAGTTACAAATTAGATTAGGGGGAGTGAATTGAAGGTGCTAATTGATTAATTAGCTAATCCGCATAAATGGTGGCACGTTTGCTCAAGAGAGGAGCGAAATAGACTTTTAGACGCCAGGTAATGTAGTTTTCCCCCCCTCTAATTATAATTTTTAATCATTTAAACCAATCACACAAATGACTGTTAATTTTTAATAATAAAAATGGGAGTCCACAGTTGAGATAATGTGTTCAAATAGCTTAAAATTGAGAAAAAGGCACAAAGATGTGTATGAATTTTCTTCTTTTTTTTGCTTCAGTGATGAAGAAAAAGGCCGTAATGTCTACCCTACATGTGAAGTTTGCAGAGAAGACCTGGAATGAGACTTTTCAGCTCATCCGGAGATGCATGGTGAGACATTTCCTATTTTCTTCTATTCCATTTGTTTTTATCACTTCCACTATTTGCTTAGCTCCCCCCTCCACCCGGCCTTTCTATGCAAATGACGGAGATCACCCAGGACTTCTACCGACAGGGTTATTTGAAAGTTTTCCTCCTGGTTTGTGCAGGCAGGACAAGTGTTGATGGCATGAGAAACAATGATTGGACTTGTCACCGGACGGCTCGTCTAATGTGATGATGTGGTGTGAATCAGGAACTAGGTGTGGTGATGCACTCAGAATGAGATCATTCATCCTGGAACACACGAGCCTTTGTTGTTTGATCAGCAGCTTTTGCATGGACGCTTATCACATCTTGACTTGGATTCACTCGTCGGCCGCATGGCGCAGTGTTCGTAGTAAAGCCCTGAATCAAAACACGGTTCTGTTTGCTGCTGGCTTTAGTCATTTTCCTTTATGCTGAACACTCTGGAAGATGCAGATGTGTACTCTTAGGCTTAAGTTTTAGTAATCCAAAGATGCAACCTTTCACATGCAGCGAAAAAGCTTTAAAAGGTCCTGTTTCGTATGTATTTAACCCTGCTGTGCTAACTTGTGTGCAGAGGTTCTGTGAGGAGAGGGTGGGTTAGTTTTCTTTAGATTCGTCACGGGTGGAGCAGCGGGGTAGATAATACTTGTGGATTAATACAAAGTGGAGCTTGGCAGCGGTCAGTCTCTGGAGTCTGCTCGAGAAACTTGATTACTTGGTGGTCTGAAGTGATGTGTGGTCCAAAGGGATAAGACATCCAGGGCTGGTCATGCAATCCTCTGCCAACAATGAGCATGAAGAGGACTTTTATAGTGCTCGAAGTCTAAGTGTAGAGGGCAGCGCACAATGTATTCTCTCACACCAACATCCAAAAATGTTGTTTTTATTAAACATGACCCATCCCAAAGTGCATAGCATCCAAAAGTCAACATTCCCCTTGCTGTGGTGTCATGCTGTTTGCGTTGCCTGCCTGGCGGCATGGGGCAGACAGGACCAAAGAGTGTTTATACAAGACTCCCATTGCCACACAACTGGGCCATTGTTTTGTTTTTTCTCCTCCTCTTTGTCCCATAATAGGAGAAATCCAGAGATGAATCCAAACCCTGTGAGCCACTGGTTAGATCCCTGGAAAGACTCCAGGAAGAGTTTGATGGTAAACAAACAATATTCCAATGATTCTGTGTTTGGATGTGAATAGATTAACCTTTTTTTTAAATTTTACTGTAAATAACTGAGCCTCTATGCATTTCAGTGTCCTCTATGAACGTCATGAGGTCCCGTCTGGAGAGGATTGCCAAACGATACGGGTGAAAATTTCACTTTATATCTCGACCAGATCTCCCTTTCATTGTTTTCTGTTATGGCGCAGCTTTGCTTTTGACATATATGACACATTATGATTCATATTCCCATTTCCCCCCCTCCCCAAGAATGGGTTTCCACTTCACCGAGGCCGCGTGCTACCTGACAGCCGACCTGTTCTACCTGGAAGTGCTGCTGCTGCCGGGCGGAGGAGTGGAGGAGGTAAAGGTGGCCCCTCATGGACGACTCCCTGCTGTAAGTGGACTGTAATGTTTCTCGAGATCCAATCTGAAGCTCTCCTCCCCTTTTTTCTCTGCATGCTAATAAAATGAAATTGTCTTGCAGCCCAGCAAGTCTCTTCTTCAGCTGCTGAGGTAAGCGCCGGAGCGATGCTAAATTAAACGTTTTGACATTTCGCTTGCAGTAAGCAGTACCGTTATCCCCTAAACTACAGAGATAAATGACGGCATCATTTAAGTGATTAAGGTGTTTGAGCTGAACATTCTGATTGCTTTTTGGCGATTCACATAGGCGCAAACATTTTGCTGATTTCTCCAAAAGGCTGGGAGGCCTCTTCGTCCAGTACAGCATCCATGGAAACAAGTACCTGCTCTTAATATATGATTTACAGTTTCTTGTGGTGTTTTAGTTGTTTCTAACACTTCTTTATTTTTTTTCTCAGTGAATTAAAATTAAAATTGTTGGCATCTCTACAGCACCTCTGGAAAGACTTGCAGCATATGTCCCGTTTTCAAAGGTTCGTGACAAAACAAGAATCCGCAAAACTGATTTAAAGCTTTATTTATTCAGCACTTTTACACTCTCAAGGTGCTTCACACACAAACTAATATGAAACAGCACTGAGACAAACCAGACAGAGATGGAAAAAGGGTTTGCTAATGAAGATGGTTTTTGAAAAGCTGCCAAAAACAGTTTCAGCAAATCAGATGGATTTTTTGGAGAGTTGGAGCTAAAACAGCAAATGTGCAGTCACCTTTGGTGTTAACCAGTCCAGGAATAGAATGAGGAATGGACAGATTAGGCATTTTACTGGGGGCAAGGTCCTGCTGTTTTATTGTTTGTTCTAATTTTTACAGAAAGCCAATAAAGGGATGTAACTAGTTTTTAGTTAATAGCCTGGGAGCTGCGTTTTGGACCAACTGTAATTGATGTAGAGCAACGTGATTGAGAAAGGTGTAGAGGGAGGTACAGTTATCTAAATGGGAGAAAATAAAACGATGAATTGATAGTTTGAGATCTGGAGAAGACAAGATGTATTAGATTATAGTGATATTTCTTAACTAAAGAAAACTGCTTTGTAGCATGATGGTGAAACACTGACCAGAGACGTCACCAAGATTCTTAGCGGTAGCTTTGATATTTATTTGAAATTAACCAATAAACAGATCAAGTTATCAGATTGAATATCCCCTAATTTATTGGTAAATTAGTTTTTTTCGGTGGCAGTCAATTCGTCAAAAGAGAGGACAGCTGATTCAGGTCATTGGGTTTCGCAAAGAAACTGATTTGACCCATCAAAACAAAATTATCTACATTGCTAATCAAATTATTTGCACTTTTTAAAGCAGTAATATCAATAAAATGTGGGTTTTTACTCATATTTGACTAAAATGGCAATTTCAGGGGATTTTTTTTTTTACTACTTTCTTATGTCTCCTGCCCTAAAGGATTGAGAAAATAATCATCAGATTAATCAGATAAAGGGAATAATTCAATAGCAGCCATAATACAACACAGTTTTTTTTTTCTGCATTCAGGGCACCGATGCACTGTGACCCCAAGATGGACATGATTAACAATGCCACGACTGGATATCTAAGCACAGGAAAAGAAGGTACAGATAGAAGAATATCAGTTATGCATCTGTTTAATTGTTTTTAAATGGTAAGTTGATTAAATGTCTTTGTTCTAGATTGTCCTTTGACTGTCCAGTTCTATGTCCCTCCAATGGAGACACTAGATGCACGTAAGTTGCATTCTTAACTGAATATGCTTTGCTAGTAGACGGGTTTATTTCTGTTCTAAATAAAGAAAAGCTCTTGTATTTAAAGAAACGACAGACATAGAAGCCATCCAGGCGGCCCAGGTTACCGTAGGTACCAGCAGCGTGTCTCACTGGCTTCAGATGGCGTCTGTGATCTGGCAGCTGGATTTCCAGGGGTAGTGTGCTATTGTTTTAATCTCTCACCCGGCGGGACACTTTTCATTTTTGCATCCTGCGGCGAGTGTGAATGTCAGTTGCTGGTGGTGTTAATGGCGTAAAAATTGTGTCCCGCGGCAGCCATCCTGTGTTTGCTCCGATGAGCGAGGTGCCAAATGAGACGCTGCCGGCCTGTTTCCTGCTCAGACTGCAGCCAGAGATACCAATGAGGTTGTCTTTTGTACAGAAGCTCAGCCAAATCACTGGTACATTATCACTGTAAATATTGTAGAAAATATACACATTTAAAATTTATTTTAACACATAATGTGAGCATGATTTTTATTTTAATCAGAGCACTCACTCTTTTCTTTCTCTGTGATATTTCATAGCCATGACTGTACCAGATGTTGACCTGCAGTGGGCACCCTTACCCAAGCTTCTGATGGGAGGTTCACCGAGTGCAAACAGCCACTGGGAGACATTAGATGCACAGGAGAATATTTTCACAGTGGTATGTACGCGCTCTTTGCTTGAATAAACTAAAAGTGTTTGTTTCAAGCTTGCTTATTATGTTATTAACTAATCGATTCTTGCGCGTCCAGCCTCTTCCTGGTGGTTTGATGCACAGTTATGTCCTCCCTGGAGCTGCCTGGGATGCGCCCACTCACAGAGGGATTGTGGTGGACAGCGTTGCCTTCACCCACCCCGCTCACGTGCCGGCCCTCCTGGATGTGCTGCGTCACCAGTGTGCCATCAACACCCTGCTGAGGAGCTGCTTCTCCGTCCGGGGCGCCGGTCCAGGTAGGAGGAGTTTAACGCCACAGAATCACAGCCCATGTGGAGATGATCTTTCTTGCCAAGTGTGCAGCAAACATTTGATTTATTGTTGGTTACGTAACACCCGATTGATCAATCCCATCAGGTTCGGTTTGCGATCAGTGCTTCGAAGTCCTTCCGGAGTCCGACACCAGCTTTTCTGTGACCTTCCACCGACCCAACACCGACTCCCTGACTGTTTGTGAGCACACAGACTATTTTTTTACAAAGATTAGACGTTCTGAACCTCAACATCTGATAAGTATCAAGTAGTGCTGCAATAATTAGTTGATTAATTAACAGAAAATTAGCACTGGCATCAATTTTGGTGGTCAATCCTTGTAATAATTTTCAAGCAAAGGTGCCAGATCAGTTCCTGCTTGTCAAATGTGTGATGCCTTTCTTTGTCATTTTTAATAATTAACTGGATGTCTTTTGGTTTACAGACTCTTGGTTGAATCAAAAGGTCTATTTTTCAGTGTTTCCTAACATTTTATAGATGCAGCCTTAATGCCAGTTTGTGAGAGTCTGTAAAAACAGCATAGCTTTATGTAATCGGTTTTGTTTTAAGGAATAATGCCAATAATTTAAGATAATGTCAATGGCAGCTGTATTCAGACTGACTGGTGCGTTTGGGTCCACAGTGCTGGTGGACGTACCCAGTCCTCATGAGATTACCTGCCGCTTGTTGGGAGCAGGAACATATGATCCCTTCATAGACGAATACATCGCCACGGTTATGAAGAGGTATGTTTTCATCACACAGCTGTTCCTTCTGTAGGTTTAAGAAGGTGCAAATGATGGGCTTCAGTGTGGTGTGTTGGCAAAATCAAGGGTTTAAAAATGTAAATGTCACCTGAAAAGTGTAAGGCTACATTCACGCTAACATGTTTGTTTCATAAATGGTGTTTTAAAGGGAATCCAGATGAGCATTTTAGCTCCATTTCAGAAATAATCTCACACATATGAAAAAGCTAATCACATAGCAGTGTGTCATGTGGGTGCCGGTTTATAGAGCAGCAATGGTGAAAAGTAAGGCCAAAGATTTCCTTAACTGCATCCTCAACAAGGTCCGCAGCACCTGCAGCTTCATTGTTTTTCCTCTGTACTGAATCAACCACTGGCAGCTGAGGTTGATGTATTCGCTTTCTTCCATAAATGGGCCATTTGATAGGAGTGTGATGAATCTGGAAGCGAATGCAATGACAGTAAGGCCCAATCAGAAAGTGAACATGGGTGTCTGCGTCATCGTTTCCTAAAGTCTCCATCCAGACTGAAATGCAACCCCGGAGTTTTCAAGCTAAAATAGGGTCAGCGGTGTTTCCAAGCGTCTCCATTTTAGGGATCCTTAAACTCCAGAGCAGTGCGGACGCCAGGCGTAAACGTGGCAGAAGTTGTGCGTTTTTCAAAATGAAAATTAGCTTGGATGTAGCCTAAAGTCGGTGCAGAAACCCTGCCATGTTTCCATTTTTAGCTTCAGCCTGATTTTCCTCAGATTTGTTTTCTTTCCCCCCTCCATTCAGGTGTATGTCCATTCCTGTGACAATGAAGACATTATACAGCAAGCTAGAGGAGATCACCTCTGCCCCACTTTCTCCCAGGCGCCCGGCCACCACAGAAGCCCAAAATGACCACTGGGCTTCCAACTGGGACACCGACCGAGGCTCGGACACGTTCTCTCAGAGTTCACTCGTGCCAGAGGACGGCTTCTATGTTTCTGCTTCAGCTTGCTTTGCCCATGCTGTAGTCAAATCCAAGCTTCTTCCTGAAATACATACGAGCTCTCCTGTCAACCACTTGCTCCCGTGGGTGTGTTCCCACCCTTGATGAGCAACTGTCAGAACTAAACCTGCATGTGAGGCGACACAGAATCTTTTTTTAATGCGTTAAATAGCTGTTTTTGACAGATCAGCTTAAACAGGACACATGTAGCACTTACTCTGTATTCGGTCCTTTTGTTGGCTGTTACGCCTTTAGAGATGCTGATTTGTAACTGCGGAAGGTTAAATTTGCGAGCGCATGATCACATCCATCTCCTGCAGAATACCAAAGTGTTTCTTACTATGCATTCCAGTGTGGCAGAGATTGCTGGCTGTAAAGGTTTGAGGTTTGGCATTTGACCTCAGCCAGCCAAGGGCCCAGTTGATTGGTACCATGTGAGCCAATCAAACATAGCTACAGTCCATGATGCATTCTTGATGGCTTGTAAGAATAAACTAGAGATCCACGCATTAAAAATAAAAAATAGCTCCGGAGGACGCGTAAATAACATCAAGGACACTGAAATGTATCATGTGTGGCTGGTAGCCGCTCTCAGTCACTTTTTCCTTTTAAGAAAATATATTTTTTTCATAATAAAGAAACTGCTTTTGGTGTGAAAGTGTGGGAGTCGAATACCTCTGTGGAGTGGAAAATCTCTTGATTACCGCCGAGCACAGTAGTGCTTTTTCTGGGTGTCAGCCAAGACATCTACCAATAAAGCACAAATGTGACAAGTGTGTAGATCATTAGGAATGTTTTGCCATCTAATGCAGAGAGGAATTTGGGTAATTCTCTTTTTGCATTGGGAAATAGTCAGGTTTGAGGGGGAATATAGATCCACGTAGGCCTTCAAGTGTTGAAGATCGGTGTGCATTTAGAAAGGAATTCACCATGTATTTAGAATATTAAGTCAACTGTCATCAGCAGACAACTGGTTTTGTCCTGCGTCTTTACTTCTGGATATCCGATGACCTGCACGACTTCTATTCATAGAAACATTCCAACATGTGTGGCTGAACTATTCTCGCCTTTCAGCAGGCGCCTGAATCCTCAGAATGTATTATGTGTTGAGATCGGTTAAGAATAAATCTAGAGAAATATTGAGATATGAGAGAGTGGTTTGAGGGGATTTGCATTTTAAAGAAAAAGAAAAACTGTGTCCAACAATGCATTGTAATATGCTGTCATTTCAGTGTCTTTGAGCCACAGTGTTGACCAGCTTTATGCTAATCTTTCTTTTCTTTTTTTTTTTTTAAACATCCACATCTCCCTCCCTGGTCTGCGGTCACTTTAAATCCAGTGGAGGAGAGCTGCGCGTCCTCCCCAAGTTTGTCTGGCCGCTATGATTGCCCGCACTCAGCCCTGATAAACAGCTGCTTACCATTTAGGCCACTTTCACAGAAAAAAAAAACAAAAAGTTTACTCCAAAACTTCTTCGAATCGAGATTTTTCTCCTTCTTCCTCCTCCTCCTCTTCCTTGTGTGTGTGTGTTTTTCTGTGCGCACGAGTGGATGTTCAGATATAGAAAAGTCTGCACCGCTGGAGTCTGGATTGGAGGTTTGCGTAATGCTCAGGCGTCCTCTGCTCAACATCTGGATTAACTATTTGGAGTCGGAGCTAGCGGCCCTGCACAAAAAACTCTTTGACTGTGTAGCGTCTCTTTAATGGAAAGACTTGCCTTTTGCTCTGGAATTAAACTTTTTTTTATTTTTTTTATTGCATCTTTTTATGCGCGATAGATTATGTATTCCCAAAAATGGGTGCGAACAATGGAAAACAGTATGGAAGCGAGGGTAAGTGCTGCTTTAATAACTTTATTTTAATTCCACTTTGATATACGGCTTTCTTCCCTTCCCCTGTGGTGCTATTAGGTCCCCGTTATCTGCCACTTTTGCCCCCTTTAGCCTCCAAGTAAACCAGAAATAAGAGTTTCTTGTGTGTGTAGCTTCCTCGAGTTTGAACATCAGTTAGCTAGCTTAAAACTAGCTTCATCTCCTCCTAACTTATACCTTTTAATTGTGCTAATTTTGTGTTTTATCCCCTTTGTGTGGCGTTTAACTCATTCCAAACGCCGTTTAACAAGGTTTAACTAGTTCAGGATGTGTGGAAATTAAGCTAACAGCCACTTTTGACCCACATTTACCTACTTTTTTAAATACTTTATAAAGATGTGCTACATTCATATTCCTCACACAAGATGGAGGGTGACATCTGCTGGTCATATTTACACTCTTTAAAGTCTTTAAAAGTTAGAAAATACATTATTAAATGCTTGTTTTGTGCTCCTCTGAATGTTATTGTCCATTTAGCTTAACTTAAAAGCAGTTTAAGTGCTTTTTTCTTCCATAGAAACTGAAGGGAGGCTACATGTCTAGCACAGGTATTAGCCTGAAGTGAGTCAGTTTAAATCAAACGTCCCCATCAGTCAACAGCAGCTGACTTGGCAGGGCAGCAAGTTCATCAGACAACGCCTGGTAGCCTGATCTATGGCTTATTTTTGGGAGAAAAAGTGTATCCGTGCAGGTTCGGCAGAGGTGGGTCAAAGGGCGTGAGTGTTTGTGGGCACTTTGTCATCCTTATCTTGATGGGAGCCAATTCCTGAGATGTTTGCACCGTAGCCTGATGTTATTCAAGCCACTTTGTGCAACCCTGCATGTATGAAAATATGCACCAGGTACTGTGAAAAGACATAAATATACAAATGCAAGACTAAAAAGTGTCATAGCTCGTATAGAAGCAACTACTTCCTAAATGTTTTGTTCATGCGTACACCTAAAATCAATAGATTTACTATTAATCTAAGCAAGTATCTGTGATCTGCTGATGGTTAAACGCTGCCTTTGGGTGGAGCTTCGGCTGCAGGGTTCTTAGAGGACAAGTAAACAAAATGCCAGATTCTTCTTGCACAGCATGAACTTTTTTTTTTTTTTTTTTGCAACACAACAAAATCAAACAGCTCCATGTTTAGCTTCAATAATTAGGCACAGCGTTGGCGTGTCGATGCACAAACGAGAGGAGTTGTTTCACCTACCAGGAATGCAGCTCAAAGCCACCGAAACGTTTTAAATCTACCTTTTTATGACGTTGCAATAACCAAAAATCTGAATCCGTTCACTCTCATGCCACGGCGCTGATAAAAATCTCCCAACATGTGGCATTAATGATGGTGGAAGCGGCTCAGCAGGACAGTTTAAAGCCATAAGCAGGCGCTTTGACTGCGTTTTGTCAGAAATATTAACATTGGTGTTACCGCCTATCTCCATCTATCACATGCATTTTTCATCTGAGGTCTAATCCCCCTGCATTACTTATGCAGAAAAGACCGCTCGTCCGGCTCTCTCCAACACATTATTTCGGCCTCCGGAGCAGAAATGTTTGTATAAATAACATTCCAATGAGCTCTCTTCCTAAGTCAATAACTGCAGAGAAAAGGTTGGAGCTCGTGATGTTAAAAATAACATGTGGACCAGCTCCACCTAGGAATTCAGCCTGTTAAGGTGAACATAATCTATCACAGGCTGCAGCAGCAGCAATGCCGAATAACACGATTAAAGAACATGTTGGTGTGTAGTTGATATCTGACAAACACGAGCGTGACAGCCATAGGATTGGTCTTACTGATGATGATGATGGTGTCTCATTTCCCCCATCATTAAGCTAATCTTATTTACGCTCAGGATGCATTTGATGAGTTTTCACCATTATTGCAGCTCAAACTTGTGGCTTAACTGCAGAGCTACTTAGAAAAGTAGCATTAGGTGCAATAACGGAGTGGAAACCGAGCTGGTAGCTACTAGCAGAGATGAGGCGGCTTCAGTGGTAAACTCGCTTCCTTTTCGCTCCAGATCCCAAGATTCTTTCTCTTCTTTCATTTTTAAACCAAAGCTACCTCAAGGACACCAATTTAGGCAGTTTATCAGATGTCGTAGAGCCCCCTGTGGAGCCACAAAAGTCTTTATGTGGCTTTGATGTGTAAAATCAATAGAGTTCTAGTCCTGGTCGATTTGGCGACACCCATTGTCACGACTTTAAGTGCATCAGATGTACACTAAAAGAAAAAAACAGTGCAGCCAAACAGATTTGCATTGTTCTCTTGGGTCTTTTTGTGATAGGAACCATTAGGGAAGAAATAGCAGGAGGAGTGACATGCAGCCAATAGCCAGTCTGGTTCACATTACTGCTGCTCAGGATATTTAGCACCTATGCGGTCTTGCACCCAAACCACTCGTCACCTCAAACTTGCATTGATTTAATAAAGAAATCATCCAGCAACTATCCATTTTCCCATCATGCCAAGAGCCCCAACAATCAGCTATTTTATACGAATCCCTTCAGTATGGCAGCATCTACCCACTGGGTAGCGTGCTGATTACAAATTCAACCTTAACACGTCGAGGTCTGTTTAGAGGTTTTGAGGCGTTCTCTCACTTATGTCAGAAAACTTGTGGACTTTTGTGGCTCCAGCGGCATCAAATAAATCTGATGAGTTGCCTGGAGTGGCGTCAGTTGGGTCAGAAGGCTACAAGTTTGAAAAAGTGAGCTTATAGACCTCTGTAGCTCCTCATCTGCTCGGGGCTGGAGGTGAGAGAAAGCCAGGATCCCTTGCCGATGTGCACATGAACATCTGAGGACACATTATTCAAGTTACGCTGCATCTAGTCTGCTTTGAGGATGTGGTCCATACATTCGCAGCTTGTACGTATTCTGTGCATGCACACTACTGCATGTGCACTGTTGCCCTTGTAAATCACGTAATCCGTAGCAGACCCTCGCAGAAGGAATAGCAGCTACTTGCACGAAACTCTTCCCTCTCCGTCTGTCAGCGGTGGACTTGTGGGTAACGTAGGCACCGGGTTTTGTCAAAAGAAGACTAATGCACGGAATAAAGAAGACAACATGTCTGGTTACGCTGCGCTGACTTTCTTCCTGTTCGCCCAACAGTGTTTCCGAAACCGATGCCGAATCAGTGAAGCGCTCTGTTAACAAATATATATTGTTCATGTGGTTGTACATGGAGCCTACTCAGTGCGTTGCGTGATATTGAAGCTTTCATCACTTTAGTGCCTTTAATACAAGTGCAGAATTCTGCGGCCAATCAGACCACATCTGTTTTCAAGTGTGACTCCACGATTAATTACACACTGGTCGCAGCTATGCAGCAGCCATCCACCAGCGCATTATATAAGCACAAGACAGGAAGCAGGAGCTTTTCTGAAACTTGTTTTTTCCATGAAAGACAGAAAACAATTGCCCCTCGCACACATCCACCAACCTGCCAGCAGCAGCCCTGCAGAGTTTCCTCTCGCCGCAGAAAGGAATCCTGCAAACCAGATACATATTAAAATACATTCGCCAACCTTGTGCCTTGTGCTCTGCTTAGATATCAGAAAAAAAGTGCTCTCATGTTGACATCTGCAAGCTCTTCCTGAATATCTGAGTCATTTCTGAGGAGCCTTAGCAGATGTGCTGGCTCAGTGATGTCACCGCAAAATGTCATTCATCCTCGCAACACACGAGCCGCGTCGGTTTCACGTTAGTTCAGACGCGTCCGTGTGACGGCGCAGGTTTCTTTTCTCAAGGTTTCGTATTTTCTGCTTATTTTTGGAACCGTCT